CGTCCCGTGTGAGGGGTTGGGACTGGATTAGTTTTAAGGTCCCTTCTAACCCAAACCAGTCTGGGATTCTGTGATACATAGAGTATAAACTGGCTGCAGCCCCAGTGGCAACCTTCACTCAGTGGCTTCACTAAAAGCATAGGGATGCTTTTTATTTCTCTGAATGACCGAACCATCAACTCTTCCGCTGCACACAGACAAGTGTCACTGCATGATACCCTGCACGTGAGCATTTTAAGTGTCTATTGCCCCCAAACAGAGGGGAAGGCACTTCTACACCATTGGTAACATGCAAATCTGCTACTTCAAGGGGAAACACAAGCACTCGCTTACATGAAGGATGAGGCACCTTAGTGGACTCAAGATTTACTCTGTGACAACAGGCTTTTATAGCAGAAAGGTTCAGCGACGTCTGTACTAAGGGCAAGGTGTGGGGGAAATGGCAGATAAGAACAAGAAACTAATAAAAAACAAAGAAAAATCTGGAGTGAAGCATCATCCCTGCATCACATCTGGCCAACATCAGTTGTTATCTGTGCAGGGACAGGCTGAGCTTCAACATTTTTACCCTCTTACTTTCTGATCGATTCTAACCCACATTTCACCCAGGATATTAAGCCAAGAGGTCCCTCCTGCAATATCCCTACCAGAGCAGCAGCAATGGAGACTTCCATTACTCCTCTAATTACTGTTGAGGTGGTTTAGTCTGTAAACTTTAGAGTCTTCCTTTCTCAGCTTCTCCATCAGGTGGTCGTCAGGAAAACTAACCTGGCCATGACATCGCTGTGACATCACTGTGTGCAGAACCTGCCCAATGTCATGGTGGTGGCACCCAAACAGGGCAGTGTAAAGGGGTTCAACCCCTCTCGTCTAATCCTTAGTCACAGAATCATTTGTGTTAGAAGGCCCTCTGGAGATCACCCAGTGCAACCTCTGCCAAGGCAGGGTCACCCAGAGCAGGGCACACAGGAATGTGTCCAGGCGGGTTTGGGATGTCTCCAGAGAGGGAGACTCCACACACCCCCCGGGCAGCCTGTGCCAGGGCTCTGCCACCCTCAACAAAGTTCTTCCTTATGTTGAGGTGAAACTTGTTGTGGTTTAGTTTATGGCCATTACTCCTTGTTCTGTTGCTGGGCATCACTGAAAAGAGTCTGGCACCATCCTCCTGGCACCCGCCTTTGAGATATTGATCTGCATTGATGAGATCCCCTCTCAGTCTGCTCCTCTCTAGACTGAACAGGCCCAGCTCCTGCAGTCTCTCCTCATAAGAGAGATACTCCAGACCCCTCATCACCCTAGTGGTCTCTGCTGGACATCTTTCTTCTCTGGAAGGACAGCAGTTAGATGTTCCTGATTGCTGGGAGTTATTAAATCAGGCAAGAGCAAAGACAACTTAAGAGCTGTACCAAGGAATGGACTAAACCCAGTTACCTAAAAGGTGCCAAGGAATTATCCCTGTTGGTCCCCCCCCCAAAATCTGGCCTGGATCCTTTCAGGACAACTAGAAAGCAACATCTCTAAAATACAGTTTCAAGAGAGCAAATTCATCATTAAACTTGGATAAGGAGCTCTCTGGTTCCCTCTTACCTCTGCTTCCTCCTCAATCGCCTCCTCAGTGGCTTGGGTCCGGTCTTTTGGTTTCTTCCACGTCTTTGGTGCAGTTAGAGCAGTTTGGGCTGCAATGTAAATGTACATCCATTACAACACTCAATGCTACGGAGCAAATTTGGCCAGGGGTGATGCTCTGCCCTCTCACACACCAGTTTTCCATACAGACAAAGGAGGCGGTCACAGCCTTGTGAGGATTCAGATAAAACCACTTTTTGTTTCAATGCAGTAATGACACCATCATTAGAAGGACATTAAAACAGGGTAATTGTTTTACAGGCTGCTCATTCAAGCTCGAAATGGTACTTGTGACAGCACAGAGTTTGTTACCAACAGTGTAAGGATCATGCAGGGCAAAAGAAATCCTTCAGGAACTGAACTTCTTTGAAAGAGCTGAGAGTGCTGGTTGCTCTCAATGTATATTTCTCAAGGAGTATTATGAAAGTTATAATGTTAACCATAAACCACAACCATGGACAGCCCCGGATTTCCAATATCTCATCCAAAAGGACAACTCCTCCAATCTGGCATCACTGGCTCTCCCGAGCTGGATTCAGATTTCAGTTTAAAAGCAGGTTAACAACTCCACCATGCATTCATTTCCCTGGATTTGAAGAAAACACCATGTAATATTCCTAACATCAGCAGTGATTTACTCTAATCACTTTTCTCCCCCAGAAAGGGTAAAAGGAACCACACAATATATTAGAGGAGACAAAACATTAATCCAACATGCTTGTAATTAGTTCCAAGTGCCACCAGCTTAACTTGTGGTATGAGGCCCAGATGCAGATTTAACACAGGGCACAAACAGAACTGATTTTGTGACTGAAGTTTACTGCAAACAGATTTGCAGCTCGAGCCTTTGGTTTCCAGCAGATATTGTGGCAAACCGCAGCGTGCCCTTCTTTTATCACAATAAAACACCACTCTGAAAGGCCCTTCAACTGTGGAAAAATGAAAAGAGTCTTAATAACAGCCTGCTTCATTCCTATGGGCACAGAGGAAACAGGATCTGGGACGTTCCCACTGCCCCAAAGGATATGCAGGAGCCTCAGCAGCTTCTTAGCAGCGGTTTCCTGTTTGGAAGGTGACAATGGACTTGGTGGCTGTGGAAATCATGACCATCAGCATGCCAGCACCAGCCCAAGGTGCAATAGGAGCTATCATGACTGATAAGAGATTTTATCTTCCTTTTTTTCACCACAAAAGCAAAGCTTGATTAAAAAAGCCTAATTCAAACATTCAAACATCATCAGGTTGTTCACAGAACTGATGGTTCATGGAGGAGCTGGAGAAATCATCCAGGTCTCTCAGACTCCTGCATCCCCATCCGTCGCAGCACCCTATGGAGCAACGTGAAGGTTGAAGAGCAGAACAGAGCCCCAGCAGTAACCCTGAACTTCCCCTGGCTCAAAGGAGCAGAGAAACAGCCCAGTGGGCACAGACTGCAGAACAGCTTCACTTTACACAACCAGGGATCAGCCTTTCCCATGGCTATGGCAGGCCCGGGGCCTTTTTTTCAGCCCGCGGCACCCTGCCAAGCTCTTCACATCACCTTGGGGTGAAATCTGGGTTGGGTAAGGAGCTGGTACCCATGCAGCGGTGGTTTCTGTGACTGAGCAAAGCAAGGACCTAAGTGAGGCTCCACAGCTCCCTCCCCCACCGCATCTGCCAAAATTTAGGGAAAATCTAGTGCTTTCCAAAAGTCAACCTGCTGCTTTGAGGCTGGACACGGAGCCCACAATGCGATGCCTTGTTTGGTGGTGCCACCTCCACACTTCCGGAGGATTTCTTCAAGGAGGAGGTCACATCTGCACAGTAATGACCTAAATACTGCCATAGCCAAGTGATTTAACCAAAAAGGAGATGTATTTTTTTAACCCCAAAGCTTTTAATTTGACAAAATTTCACTCTGCTCAAACTACATTATGGAAAAAACATCCATACTGTAAAATAATGTTTCATTTTTAAATACACAGAAATAAACTCAAGGTCATGGATTTGGGGTTGGCAAAGATTTAGGGTGTGACTTCCTCAACTCTCAGGATGTTAACACTATTGCTTCTCAATAATACATTTTTTCCATCTTTTTTTGGCAGAAGACAGCTATATAAAGCTGTGATCCTGCCGAGCCTCCTCAATGAGCCTCACAGCTTTTGCCTTTAGTCGTGCAGATCATTTTCCTGCTTTGGGGCTTCCCTGCACGAGGATGCTTGGCCAGACACTTGCCTTGAATCCCAAGACATCTCTGGTTGTGCAGTCTGTACCTGGGTACCAACACCCGGCCGTGTTTCAGAGCTGACTGGGGTATATCAGCGAGACCTCTGAGACATTGCTCAACTTCTCCCCTCTTAAAACAGCAGACATAAGATTTTGTTTCATTTCTGTTACAGGAACTGACTCAACAGGAGAATCACATTAATGTAAGCTTAGAAAATTAATCTGAGTTTAGGAGCCAACCCTCCCAAAGCCAAAACCTGACCAGGGCAACGGCATTTCAGCTGCAAGGATCTCCACGAGCTGTAGATCAACGTGTCCAGTTTGGCTCTAGGCAAGGGTTCAAAGGCCCCTTTAGGCACTGGAGCTGCTCTAAGGTGTCCCCTTGAGGAGCCTTCTCTTCTCCAGCTGCCCCAGCCCAGCTCTCTCAGCCTGGCTCCAGAGCAGAGCTGCTCCAGCCCTCGCAGCAGCTCCGGGGCCTCCTCTGGCCTCGCTCCACCAGCTCCATGTCCTTCTTGTGCTGTTCCCCAGAGCTGGGTCAGGACTGCAGGGGGGGTCCTCATGAGTCCTCTCATCTGTGCTACCTCAACCCTTTTCTCCAGCTACATCATGTTCTTCAGCAGAACATCTTTCTGCAGGAGATCCCCCCACAAGCCCACAACCCATCAGGAGAGGCAGAGAAGACAGTCTCCTCTCTGATGTGGGTGCCAACTGCTAAGCATAAATTAATACCAGCTCTTATATTTCTCTTTTTTAGCCCATGTGCCATTATAAACCAAAGCAAAGACTCACCATCCCCTTACAGCTCATGGGAAAGATCATATATTCCAGTGGGCTGTGGCAGCAAATCAAAGAACAGGCGATACCTGATTTATGTCTCTGGCTCTGGGTGCTGGGGATATTTCTCCAACACATTTCCAATTACTGCCCCAAGTTGCTCATTTACAGCCTCCACAGCAAAGAAATCCTGTGATGTGCAGCTGGTTGGGCTACTTTATATCGAAATACAACTTAAAATGAGCTCTGCAAGAAACAGCTCTTAGAATTCAACATGTATTAAGATCTTTTGGCTTCCGATGTTCCTCAGAGTTCTGCCTGGGACAGACATCAGGGTCCTGTTTTCCTCTTTGCTTCTTGTAACAGCCACAATAGAAAGGTTATAACATAAGATGCATTCAGAGCATGTCCTCAAGGCTTTAAGTCTCTGGGAGCGACACCTTCTTTAGAAATTCCCACTCCTCTAACAAAATCTCTCCAGCATTGTTCCCTGAGGATGGTGGTCCCTCACTACAGCCACCAAAGCTACTGGAGATAAACCAGAATTTACTAACAAAAGCAAGTGTCTGTTGTTGACGGCTTTTAACTGGAGCAATGTTTTAGTAAGGATCACAGGCTGAGCCGAGTTCTTCTCTTGATACTGTCTGTATTTTCTTTCCTTGTAATGAAGATGAGTAGGAATTAATTATTTAAATAGCTGTGTGCTCTTGCCCTTTGCAGATGCAACAGCTGTGCCCATCCTGAAAACCCTAAGATAATCATTACTGAGCAGGCAGGAACAAGACCTGCAGCCTCCACACTCACAATAGTGGGACCATGTCTCCCCTAACCCTGCATTTTGGCAAATACTTGGAACACAAACCCCCTCAGCAGCAGGAAACCAGACACGTGGGTACAATGTGCTGCCTGCAGCGTGAAAAACTGCAGTTCTCAGGGGTTTAATGCTCCAAAACCCACCAAATCTTCCCCATTTTTAGGGGATTAGAAGCAAGAGCAATGATGCTGACGAGCAGGCTGCAGATGAACTACTATCAGATACTAAGACTAAGCCACTGAAGTTGCTATCTTCATTGTGCAGGCTAACACAACTCAAGACTTAAAGTAAGAGTTAGATAGAATATAGTATAAAACAGAAAGGAAAACCAAGCACACTCCGATTTCTGCAAAATAAGAATAATACAACAGAGGGGTCGGACAGAGATCCTCCAACCTTAGAAATCTGGTGGAGTCTTAATGCCAGTGGAAAAGACAGAGCAGAGGCTTCCCTGGATCCCGATCACGTCAGCTCTGTTTAGTGCCCAGCTCCTCCTGCAAACACTGAACAGCTCCTTTTCTTGAGCTGTAAAACAGAACTGCTGGAGAATAAAGATGTTAAAAGATATTAAGCCTCCGTGGTCTTTCTCTCTCTCTCTCCAGAGCTTGCTGGAGCACAACATGAAAGTCTTGTTTCTCTGACTGTCACACAGAAGGTGTATTCTGAAAGCGCTTGAGGAACAAGCAAATAATTTCATTCATCCCTGAAAAGCTGTCGCCTCCATCACAAAATACGGAACACCACAACTCCCAACAACACTGTGTCCCTGCCCGTGGCTGAGGGTTGAACTGGAGGAGCTTTGAGGTCCCTTCCAACCCAAAGCAGTCTATGATTTGTGGCCAAGTTGCTCTGCAGTAGGTACACACTCCTGCTGGAACTCCTGAAGAAATACTGTTAACAGTCACCGAGTTCAACGCTTACCGGCACGTGTTTGAGAAGTTTCCCTTATCCCAATGTCTACTGTATCTCCAGAGATCACAGAAAAGATTCTTGGCCTTTAGTCCAAGGGAAAACCGACAACAGTAATAGCCCTTCCTCCTTGCTCCTGAAGCTCAGCATCTGTATTTTCCGGAGTATGGTGGAGACCTGCAACTCCTCATTCAGCCCAGACAGACACCTGAGCGAGCTGTCACCTTGAGATGACGTTACTTAAACCTCTCTTCCCCTCTCCAAGGAAGAATTGGGAAAGTATGGCTCAAAAAAAGCTTAGCAGAGCAATGCAATACAGTTATATGTCATTAAAGAAGGGGTAAAGCACCCAACCATGACTTGGGAGAGTATTTTGCTTCCCTCAAGGGGAAAAAAGCACTGAGCTTTTAATAGGAATCAGAATTTCAAGCGATCTTGTACATGACTTGAGAAATCTTTGTTTCTCTGTTGCTAAAGCCAATGCATTGGCTAATGTGGGCTGTCCAGCCTAATGACATTAGAGCATTAAATTTCATCTGCTGCATAATTAAAAGCCCAAAATGCTTTTCTTCATCTAAACTACAGGCCATCACAGAACAAGCACTAATATTGCAAGCTGGAACCTGCCTGGGTAAAACCTGATTTATAGAGAGTCCCATTTCCCTGCTTTGTAAGGAAATTAATTTGTGTTATGAAGTGGCTCAGCCTGAAAGAACAGCAAGAGCCAGAGCAGTGAAATGACCCGAGTTGAATAAAAATAGAAGAAGATTAACAGAACCCCCCCCGTGGCTGCTATAGTGAAGGGATCTTTCTGATCTTCTCTAGATACTGGGTTTTGTTTAAGGTCCAGCATATTGACCTAGCGCAGCAATACACAAATATGGAACAAGGCCAAGCTCAGCTTTTCACTTAATTTAATCCATAGCAGAGAGTAGCTCGAGATGCTCCTGATGCCAGTGCACATCCAGGGCTGGCTTATGAAAGAATAAACTGAACAAGCCCCAAAGCTTATTTTAAATGTTACTTAAGAAGCCCCAACAACCCCCCCCAAATCCCAACCTATTGTTTCTCCTTTGCTTCTTGACCAAACTTCACCAAATTCCAAGGATATATTTAAATAAGCCACCTCAGTTTCCCAGCTCTGAAAGGACTCCAAAACAGGTGGAAATGATGAGATGCATCTAAATGCTTTAACGCTGCTAAGTGTGCACAACAGCCACTGCTACACTCGCCCCAGCAGCTAAATACAATAAATTGATTGATTTAACTTGGTTTCCACTATAATTTCCAGGAAGTCCTGAAAAAAACCCAGGTTTTTTGTAGAAAATAGAACAAATAGAAAGACAGAGGTCTACATGAATCCATTCAATGCTAACCCAGCGATGACAGAGGACACTGAAACCAAAGGCAGCTGACAAGGCTCAGAGAAACAGCCTGGATTCTCAAAGACAGCTACAGAAATGTCGAGTTTTAGTCATGCAGCACGATCAGATTTTGCTTTGGCAGACAGAAATGGAAACATCTGATGGAGGAACCACCCCAGATCTCTTTCCTTCATCCTCCAGTTCACCGCACGCAACCACAGTGTCAACACTTACCTGGGACAGGACTCTTGCTCAAGTTTAAACTTGGAGCCTCCGTGCTCTCCTCCAGTTGCCCATCTGCTTCTGTCTCTTCCTTCTTTTCAGTATCTTTTACCTCTTCGCTAAGAGTAGTTCTTGTGCTCTCCTCTCCTTCTAAATCTCCCTGGACAACAGGGAGGGCACTAGGAGATGGGAGAGGAGGTGGAGAAGGAGTTGTAGTGGTAACAGCAGCAGCAGCAACCGAACTGGGAGGAGATGGTGGTGGAGGGGTGGGAGGTGGAGTGGGAGGAGGAGAGGGAGCAGCGTGAAGAGCACTGGAAGATGGCACGCTTTCCACTTCTGCTGGAGGTGCTTCAGGGGTCTCCAACTCAACAGTCAATGGTGCAGCTTCTGTCTGGGCTACATCTACTACGCTCTCTGCAGCAGTTACCTTTTCACTAACTCCATTCACCTCATTAATTAGATTAGTACTAGCAGTCACTGGAATATCACTAGATGCTACACTACTAGGCTCCTCGCACACCTCGGCATCAGCCTCTTCTGCTGGCAAAGGGTCTGATGTGTCCGTGCATGGTGTGGCATTGGATATAGGCATTGCCTCCTCTTTTGGGGAAGCCAGTTCACATTTCTCCTCTGAGTCAGCTGTGAATGTGGGTTTACTAGAAACGGTGACAACAGCAGCAGTGGCAGAAGCAGGAACAACTGCGACGGGAGCAGCCGGGGTTGGCGATGGAGCAAGAGGAAGTTCTGGTGGGGTTTCCACTGAGGTGGCCTCGGTCGTCTGGCCAGCTTGATCTTTCTTCTCCCCAGCAGGTTCTGGTCTGAGGACTGGAGAAGAAGGTTTTAATACTGGGTCTGGTTTTGGCTTCTCTTCTGGGAAAGGAGAAAAAAAAAAGGCAATGTTATAAACAACAAAGCAACTCTGTTTTCCTTCGCTGCACCTAAGCCCTCCTGGTTCCCATCACCTGCATCCTGCCTTCCATTCCAGAAGCTCCAAGGAAGCCACAAGAGGCACCTGAATTTAACCCTGCAGGTAAAGGGAAGGTCCAGGCAGCCTGCAGCCAGTCTCAAACACAACCACTGCTTCTGTTTTTCTGAATGTAATGGCCTTCACAGAACAGGCCTGGGAAATGTTACAGAAGGTGCATTTCTTGCAGAAGCTCTGCAGCTGAAAACAGGATTTTTCTTGACACAAATTACAAAAGACAATAAAACACTTTACTTGGATTCTGCCTCCAAGGAGCCTGTGGCTGTAACCCTGAGACACGGGCCATTCTTTTACAGATGCCACGTGTTGTGCCATTATGAACACATGGGATGCCTTGAGTTTATTTTTCCACTTGTTATTCCTCAGCTCCACCACCATCAGCACATCAGACTAACGGACACATCCTCTTTTTTTGTTCTAAATTTCAGGAGAGATAACTTTTCCCAAAGAAAGTAGAACCGAGAAGGGATTCACCAAGCAACAGCATCATCAGCTCTTGATGTTTGCGGTCCAAGGATATCAAGCAGGGTGGGAAAAGGTCTGCACATGTCACACCAAACCCCGAAATACTGAGCACAGAGAAGTCCCTGCTCTGATCCTGTGATGACCAAAAGGCTTTGCAATACCAACCACCACGCAGCTCCCAAGGCTGGGCTGCAACTCCATTTAACACATTTATTCCCACTTCTTTTGAATAAAGTATGAGCCAAGATCCTAAAAGTTCCCACAGAACTACTTAGGATCTCTGTTACACCCTCTCCTGCCTCCGATTTGGTGATGGGACATAGACTGTGAGATCTTGCTTAGGGAAGTGCCTCCATGCTACAACTCTGCAAGACATGAGACACTCAAAGGCAACATACTGGACACAACAGCCCTGTTCTAACCACTGTTACAAGATCAGCTTTATCTGGCCTTGGGGAGCTCTGCTCTGCCCCATCAATGCAAAATGCCCCAGGGATTTCGGAGCACTGAAGCAAGAGGGAGCTCCTCTGGGACACTGCCACAAGAGGAAAAACTAATTCTGGAAAAGTCAGAGGCACAAACCCTGCTGTACAGATTAGGAAACTGAAGGCCACGTCCAACCCCAAATCTAGTTAAAACTAGATGATTTGTAAGGTCCCTTCCAACTCAAACCATTCTATGACTCTATGATTCTATAATCAGAAGTCAGTTAGAACTCAGGTACAGCTTTGCTTGGTCTTCTACAGCTCTTTTGGCTTTCCATTTGAGGCTTATTCAACAGACAGGCTGAAAGGAAAGATTTTTTGAAGGAGAACCCAGCTGAAAGTGCTTGAGGCATCAAGTCCCATCTTCAGAAATAGCCGGAGCAACGTAGAACTCTGCTCCCAGCCATCAACAGCCCCAGCAGCACTACAGGGAGGACCACAGCCAAAGCAGTAGTTTATCAACTTAATGAGGCAAGCAGGGAGAAAGCTTTGGAGAAGGATGACAAATGAAGGAAAAGATGGGCGAAAATATCCCAACATCTGATTTTGATTCCGAAGGTTCTGTGGAAGAAAAAGGACCCGGGAACTGCTTTAGAAAAGAAATTGTGTCACCTCTGATTTCTGGAACATCCTTTGCAGAACTCATGCAGCATTCCTGACATTTACAGCTCGCTGTAAACAACTGCCTGGATATTCTCTCCCTTGAGTCAACTGAGATTGCTCCAAAACAAAAAGAAGGCATTTGAAGTGTCCAGAAAAACATTCCAAGAGATAAAACCGCAGCAAAAATACACAACTGCGTTTTAAACCAGTGTTCAAACACACTTTCCTCCAACTGCACCTTATTTGGCCAAAGCATCAGCCATCAAGAGAGGCTGTGTGTGCGAAATCCAAGGAGGCAAGTAATGTGCGGTGGGGGATTTCAGCACAGCAACAAGCAGGTTTAGCTAAAGAGAACCAAAGCTTAACTGGAACCACCAGCATGGAGAACAACTCTCCAAGTCCTGGCAAAGGAACATTCATCCCTGCCAGCTATGACAGCAAGTGTCACGTGAAACAACATACAGTTGGGAAGGGAAAACAAAAATCAATGCAATTCAGCCAAAGTGAATCAGATCCCTTCTAAATATGCCAAGATCACTCCTGACATTATATTTAGAAGGTATTCACAGGAAGCACTGGGCTGTTCAGGAGCAGAGTTTGCTCCATCAGGAGGTATTTTTGATCAATACAGATCTGGCCAAGTTAGTCACTAGAAATACTTTGACCAACTGAGCAGGACAGATGCTTGCTGCCTCCTCCATGGAGAGACACAAAAGCCCGAGGGGCAGGTAGGTTGCTACGTGGCCGTGGTGGCAGAGACTGCCTGGAGCAGTGGATGGGGAAGATTTCACTGGACACAGGGACTGGTTTCTGCTTCATGGTGATTATCTGGCAGGAATCGCTGGGCTTGGTGCCATTTTTCCATGCTCTGTCCCGGTGCTGCCGCCGGCTTCGCAGGCAGCGTTTGGAGCACATCTTAGAGTCCTGCTGTCAGTGGAGCAGCTCGATGCCTTCCAGACTTCAGGAACTCTGTTTTCCACAAACCATGTCACACATTCTCCATGTCCATTGCAGCAATTATTAAGAGTTAAAATCCCATAATGATAATACTTCAAGCAGCACACCGAGCCTGAAGCTGAGTCAAAGAGGACAACTCTGATTTCATGCACAATTATACCCTGTTACAACTGGCCTGCAGCCAGATTCCTGCCCCATCTGCCACCAGCTTGACCTGGACTCTCCAGCAATATCCTCACCTTCCACAGCCCGGCTCATACATAAGCATCAGGAGCACCTCTAGGAATGACAGCTGCCTGTCTCCTCCAAAATAATGCTTCTTCTCAAGGTATCAGAGTAGTAAAGTTCCAATCATTTGGGAACTTTGAAGCCTGAAAAGCCAGAAGCTGCTTTAAAAGCAGCAAATGCCAAATGCTTGTCTTCTAAAAACAAAACCAAGGCTGTTAAATGCAACACAATCCCAAATCCAGCCTTGCAAAAGCACTGGGGACTGGAGACACTCACAGTGGGGTACCAGAAGCCAGGCTGCCGGCACCACATATGCTCCAATCCCAATCCCGGAGCCAGCCAAGGGGCCACAGTTATAAATAACTGCAGAATGATCACTGAATACCACAAACTTGGAATTACAGCTTTATCCCAAACCTCAACTGATGCAAACGAGCGCCCGAAGTGAAGGGCACAGGGGAGGATCCGATCCAGAGGACGAACATGGTGAAGAGGTCTTAAGGGACCCAATAATACTGGTTTTAACCAATGTTTGCTTAAGAAAGCCCCATCTATGCCTGGTTTTATTTGGGAAAAAAAACCCCAACATCAGGCACAAAGTGAGAAATTATTATTTCTGGAAAGATGTGCCACTACGTTGGTTTAAACAAATCATTTCAATGGTATCTAAAGTTCCCTCCCCTTCACTCTGCTCTGTGCCGTGATCAACCCCACCACTGCTGTCCCCAGCCTGAGGCCATGGTTGAGTGCTCATGGTGCTGTTTCAGGGTGCTCTTGCTCTGCTGTGCTCACATAAATGTGCTCTTGAGCAATTTTTGGACTTGAACAAATGTTTGACTCTTTCTGGGATGGAAAGGATATAAACACAGGAAAGCTCACGAGCGCTAAATCCCAGTTCAAGCCTTGATTTATAGTTAACCCAGCACAGTCAGACCTATGTAACTAAATAAAGATCACGTCCAGTTTACTTACAGTTCCATAGGAAGGGATTAAGTTAGAGAGAAAACCCACCTGTCCAGGAAATACAAGTTTTCATACACTGGGTGACATACTGAGAGGTTAAGTGCTGGATTTTACGGTTCAACGTTAACTTGCTCAAAAGGGCAGATGTACTTTGGTGCTTGCACCTTGGACATCAGTTGTTCATGTCCCAGTGCCACCATGCACCTTGGCATGCCCGGAGATATCCCCTGGGATATGGGCACCTCGGCAGAGGGGAAATAAGGACATGGACTGGGAAGAGCATCTGTGCCAGAGCTGAGCGAGCCTGCGAGCCCTGCTCAGCCAGCACCATCACCATTGATCCATGGGTGTTCAACCTACCCAAAAAGCTTTAGGTGACAGAGACATTAAGTTCTGCACAACTAGACAAAGCCATAGTCCTGCTTCGTGTGGGAGATGGGACCAGATGAAAGGGGAGACTGAGATGAACTCTTAGGCAGAAGCTCTTCCCTGTGAGGGTGCCCAGAGAAGCTGTGGCTGCCCCATCCCTGGCAGTGTTCAAGGCCAGGTTGGACACAGGGGCTTGGAGCAACCTGCTCTAGTGGAAGGTGTCCCTGCCCGTGGCAGGGGCTGGAGCTGGAGGAGCTTTAACGTCCCTTTAACACAAACCAGGCTGGGATTCTATGAATCCAAAAGCTTCCATTTCAACCATTTCTAGACACTGCAGCAGTTCAGAAACATATCCATGGAACAACCTGAGGAAACACCCTAAAGTCTGCACTATTGGCTGTAAAAGAGCAACATTTCCAGTAAATTTTAGAATCTGATACAAATGAGCCTGAGGGATCCTTCCCTTTACTTCCAAGCAGCAATGATGCTGCTGTTTGGAACTAGGACATCTGAAGCACCAGAGGCAGATCTTCCCCTCTTTCCTCATGAGTGAAAGGGCACCTCTCCTTTGGGCACACCTCAGAGGCACAACCTCCAGCACTGCAGCGTGGTGAAGAACCGGGACATGGCAGCGGTGCCGAGCCTGAATCCCTGCACTGGCTCTGTCAGCACAACAGCAGCGCACACCTCATTAACCACTGCTGTTTAATGGCTTTTAGGTGGCTATAAAGTGTGGGAAGAGACTTGGCACACATTCCATCTTCCCTCCTGGGACACCTTTCCTTTGAACTGTGTAAAAGAACCTCCCTCCAAATGTATATTCTTGGATAGGAGATGGAAATGTAATCACTTTGAGAAACTTTTTCCATCTGTGCCGTTTTTCCTAAGTGAAGTTTGCTCACTTTGCTCACTAATATGTCTTTTTTCTAATAAATACTGCCCGTGTCCTGCAGGACAAGATACAGCAGCAGCTCTGAAGGAGCCATATGACACTCTGGTTACATGCCATACCCATGGCTAATGGTCCAAATGATCTAAAATCTCTCTGGCCAAGAGCATTTTGCTGGCAATATGCTTGTTTCTGAAGGGTGGCACATGAGCGAGAGGAGGCTCTCACTTCTAGATGCTCTGAAACAACATTTAGGACATATAAGCTTGACTACAATTATTTTTAACTGGTTTCACATTGGCAAATTTCAATTAATTCCCTTAGCAACACATTGTTAAAATGTTCCAGTGGAGGCAAAGTTGTCCCTCCCCTCCTATTTCTGCTGAGTGCTTGTCTCCATGCCAAAAATACTCAAACTAAAACAAGAAAGGAGGCAAAAAAAAAAAAAGAAAAAGACTAAAAATAATCAGAGAGGAAATAGGAAATATCCATCAACAAACCTTGCTTCGGGTTGCTAGTCGCAGTGACAGGGGTGCTGGCAGCGAGGTGGGTGCTCTCCACAGTCCCATAGACCACAGGGCTGTGCTCGGGGACCTGGCTGGACAGCTGCTGAGATGTGAAGTACAAAACAGGGTGACAATGAGCGTGGGAACATAAGAACCAGCAACGTGGAGCACAACCAAGTGGGGAAGAGGGTGGGATAGAAAAGAAGAACCAAGGGTGGGGGGAATACAGAGGGAAGGTACCAGACAGATTGAATGAATTCAGAGTGTACATGGGAAAGGGAGGGAGGAAAAGGCAGCAGGAAAAGGGGAAAGAGAGACAATTACTGTCAACAACAATGAGAAGGAGACAGCACAGCACAGTTACTAACACACTTCATTCTCCAAATGCTTGTCCCAAGAGCAGCAGAAATGCTCCTCTGAGTAGGCTGCACAAAGCTGGACACACACCAGGACTCCTGGACCCCTCTGTAAGCTGCATTTGCTTTCTGCACTCCACTCCTTTCTCCACTCATCAGTTACTCCAAAAACCTTAGATATTTTATTTCTCTGTGTATTTATTTATAGTCAGATAATGTGTGTGTGAAGAATGTTTATGTATCTCCATGCACACACAGCAACTTGTTATCACAACAGGAAAAGAATCTGTATTGGTTACACCTTGGTGGTTCTATGAAGGAACCATCTGACAACTTCTACAGAGAGACGTAGGGATGGTGCCTGCTGGGTCACCATCAACCTAAAGGAGAGCAGGAGGAGCTGGCTCCCAATCAACGGGGACTGAGCCTGAGGTTTTCTATATATAGAAATAAACTGCAAGACCAACAAAGCCACAGGAGTGAAAAAGCCACGGTCCGCTGCAGAGACCTTAACTGTGTCCCCACCGTTAATGGGACAAACACCTCACTTGTGTTCACAAAGGTTCCATAAAGACCAAAACAAAAAATTCCCCTGTATTTTATCTCAGAATTTAAGGAAGACCTTGTGTAAGACGAAGTAACTGCACCAAAGACACTCAGAGGTAAAGGTGAAGCCCTTGGGTACGTTTGAGTGAACGCAGATGGCGCAAACTCAACCCTTCACAATTGCAAACCCCCTTCAACATGCTCCGGGGACCATGGAAGGATGAAAACGGGGCTGAATTTCAGGTTAATACACTGAAGCAGAAGCCACGCTGCGTGTTGCAGGTGTCTGTTCTCATCCAGCCACTCACCCATGCCGACTGTGCAGAACATCCACAGGAATAGGGGGTTTGGAGCAATCAGAATAAAGCTGAGCGCCCAAGATATGGGTGTCTAATGCCTTCTTCTGGGGAGGCTATCAGAAATCCATGCAAAACATATTCCCATAAAAAGAGAAACTCCCTGGCAACCTGCTCCTCTTCCTGGGACTCCTTTTTCCTCCCATTTCCAACTATTTCATCTGAACAGTGCAGAATAAGGAGTGAATTATCTTCAATACGCCACTTTTCACCATTTCAGGACATAGAAAGGTAAAGGAGCACTGGGAAAAAGCACACCTGGAAAAAGAGAGATCTAAGCAAGCGGGGTGAAAGGTTGAGATTTTATTTGGGATTGCTCCTCTTCCTGGAAGGAGCCCGATGAGATCGGCTGGAGGATGGATGAGGAATTGCATCCCCATCTCCAGCCAAAGTGGGAGGAAGCCAAAGAAAACACAGTTTCACACATGAGCCAGTCTGGAGAAGGCTTTCCCCTCATCCTGTTTCATTTCATGTAAAATTTATGGATGAAAGCAGCGGGGAAAAAAGGGAATGTGATGAGACCGACAGGGACCAAGCAAGACTAGTGAACAAGGAGCCTGTAAGCCTAGAAATCTCCTGGGTCAGAACACAGGTTTTTACTAAGAACTCTGGAAAACACTCTTTTATTTTGTGGAACAGTATCACAAAGTAATAGAAATGGGATTGAAGTACTGACCCTTCCAGGCTCGTGGCTTCAAATTGGAGCATTCAGAGACTTTCCAAGGAAAAACCCCGCTTAAAATTGCTCTCATGATTTATGATGCTAAAAGTTGCTCTCTGTTACTCTATCCTTCTGCAGCTGTGGACTGAGAAACCCAAAGTGTGACAAACTCATTGACACTTCGAAGAGGTTCCCCGGGAAAATGAGAGCTTTCTTACTCTTTCAAAGGTGATCTTCTGTGTTACAGAGTGGTGAGTAAATACCATGGCCAGATTCCATTCGTGCTCCTGGGGTTTATTTTCCTTCCCAGCAAAACATATATCATGAAAAATAGCATTCAGCTAGAAACATAAATAATATCAGCTAGAAACATATAAATAATACCTCATGTACTGCCAGCTTCCCTTGCAGGAACTTTAAAGCACTTTAGCAATTAGTGACCACTGTGGAGGTGCTGGGAAGGCTCCATCTAAAGCACTTTCTGGTCAGTGATACCGACTACAAAGCAGGAGGTACAAAAAGCATGGAAAGGGCTAAAGCCTCATGGCTTGAGTCTTGCTCATCTGGTGGACAACTGCAGTGGGTTTTGGTGTTAAGCACTTGACGTACTGGGAGGAGAGGGTGCTCTGAGCTTGGGTTGTCAAAGCTTCAGGGTTAGTGTGAGTCAGTTAAAAAAATAATCCAAATCTAAAGGAAAAAATCCCCAAATTTTGGAAATCTATTATTATTCCTACTACTATTGTTATTATAAAAGGCTGCTTTTTCAAATGTAGAATTTGTGACAGGGACTGGCCTACAGCAGTGCCTTCCATGCCCTTCTTCAACTCAAGTTTCTCCCTTCATGCTTGTGTCATTTAAACAATGAGATCACAAAATCAGACATTGGCTGTCAATATAAAAGAAGCACTACTCAAATTCAGCCCAGAGACTGCAGATCCACATTTTATGTTCAAGCAGATGAGATCTCATCACCCCTCCCAACACGCAGAGTTTAATTCCAAAGGGTGGTGAACAAGACACCAGTAATGCTGCTCCCCCTGCACCCAACTGGAGGTGTTTCACAGGGAGGTGTTCCCAACATGAAGCTCACACTGACAGGTCACAGCTTTTATCGGCTGTGGAAAGGGAATACAAGAAAGCCCTGGAATGTCTGTGCAAACTTATGGCTGTGTCCAGCTCTGGGGAACAGCACAAGAGGGATGTGGAGCTGCTGGAGCGAGGCCAGAGGAGGCCCCGGAGCTGCTGCGAGGGCTGGAGCAGGT